CTTCTTCCGAGCCCTCTACATCTCCAGGAAAGTCCAAACTTGCCAACATTTTCCTGTCTTCTGAGCCTTCCAAACTGTTCCAACCTCTGCCCATTACCCAGTTCCAAAGTCGCTTCCACATTTTCTGGTATCTTTAATAGCAGCTCCCCACTACCTCAGTACCAATTTACTGTGTTAGTCCATTCTCATGCTGCTAATAAAGACTTACATGAGACTGAGTAATTTACAAAGGAAAGAGGTTTAATTGATTCACAGTTCCACAGGGCTAGGGAGGCCTCGGGAAACTTACAATCATGGCAAAAGGGGAAGCAAACACTTCCTTCTTTATATGGCGGTAGCAAGGAGAAGTCAGAGTGGAGACAGGGAAAGCCTCTTCTGAAACCATCAGATCTCTTGAAAGCTCAGTACCATGAGAACAGCATGGAGGTAACCCACCCCCTGATTCAATTACCTCCCAGTGGGTCCCTCCTACAACACATGGCGATTATGGGAATTCAGTTCAAGATGAGATTTAGGTGGGGACACAGCCAAACCATATCACACTGGTAGGAATATGATGTAGGTTTTATATGATATAGTTGATCTTAATTTTGTTTCTTTCTCTCTCTTCTTTCTTTTTTTCCCCACACAAGATAGAATTATATTTCCTGAAATAATCTATACAAAGGTTTGTAGAAAGATAGAAAACGTTTATAACCACATTCCCTCACTCAGCTCCTAATTTTTCTCTTTTGTTCAACCAGGCAACTTCAAAACTAATCCTTAAGAAGCCCCTCCCTCAGCCTGCTCTGCCTTCCAGTGATTGCTGTTTTTGCTATTACCAAGGACATGCAAGAAGAAAACAAAATGCACCGTGCAGGAGAATTATTTGAAGCTTACAAACTATTTTCACTTGAAGGGTTATGAAATTTTACTAATGTTCTCTAGTGAGGCAAAAATTACACAGGTCTTGATAACAGAAACATGAGCAACAATTAAACTCAGATTTTAACATACATAATTTTAGCATCTCATAGAGAGATTCTCAACTTCTGCTTTTTTACCTCACATCTCAACAATACTATAAGGGACTGCAGAATCATGTTTGCAAGGAAAATGCATACTTTCCTCTTCTCCAATAGTACTAAGTATTTCTCACACTGCAGTCAAGAAAAAAATCACTTTGTACCCTGACATGAAGCAAAAATAACATGATCACCCTGCCTGAAAGTTGGTCTCCAAAATAAAATTTCAAACACATCTCACTCCCTTAAAGAAACCATTTTTCCCTTGATTCTTTGCTATGCTGGTGTCTGAAAACAAGTCACAACTTTTAGGAATACAGTAACTGTGCGAGAAAATTGTTTTCAGTCACGAACAACAGACTAATGTACATGGAGAACTTTGGTAATTTGGGGGAATATTTTCTTTCAAGTATTTACTGTGATTTTATTTGACGGGCCAGTCTTATAAAGTCTGACTCCCTTGCACTCTGGGGAAGTAAACATTTTCTTTCCTTTTCTAACTGCTTCTGCCTCTAAGTCTTCCTTTGTCAAAAGTAAATGTAACAATAAACACAGATTGCTATTCTACTTAATTTTAAACCAAGCATATATTACCTACTCTGAGCTAGCACAGCTTGTGGGGCCTGCTCAAATGTCAATTGTATTTTGGTTTTCTATTGCTCCTTAAAATACATTCAAGGATTCATCTTCCCTGCCCTCAAACAAATACTTGAGTAGATGTTTCTGTTCATGCAACAACTTCAAAGTCCCAAAAGAGGCCAGTCACAGCGGCTCACACTTGTAATCCCAGCACTTTGGGATGTGGAGGCAAGGATATGAGCCCAGGAATGCAAGACCAGCCTGGGCAACAGAGCAAAACCACATCTCTACAAAAAAACAAAAACAAAAAAAAACTTTTTAAATTAGCTGGGCATGGTGGTGTGTGTCTGTAGTCCAGCTCTCTGAGAGACTGAGATGGGAGGATCACTTAAGCCCAGGAGGTTGAGGCTGCAGTGAGCTGTGATCATGCCACTGCACTCCAGCCTGGGCAACAGACAGAATGAGACTTTGTCTCAAATGACTAAATAAATAAGAAATACAAAAACCTAAAAAAATTAAAATATCTAATCTTTGGAAACAAAAGAAACTCTGACCCATTATAACATGAATCTGCCCTATTTCAGCAATGTCCTGCTGCATGCTGGTCTCCTGATGGGGTTGGGGGAAGGTAAACTTCTTTTCTATTTCTTCACATCCACTCAACTGCTGGCCAGTTTCAGAGCACTCCAAGATCAAAGCAGGAGGACAGGACTGAATTAACTATCTTCATACCTCACATGGGTGCGTTGGTAATACTCACCTTCCTTCAGCTGGCTGCTCATTCCTACTTCTGCTGCCAGATGTCCTCGCCCTTTGGCCAGCCCTTCCTCCCATGTGGCCCCAACCTGGCTCCCAGATCATCATCAGACATCCTTTGCCCAACAAACTCTGGGAAAGTGAGTGATCCAGCCGCGTAGGCCGCTGTGTGAGCCCCAAATACAAGAGGCACATGGACAGCTCAATTCACCCTCAGATGGCCCCATCACTATCTTTGGGATGAAGGAAGTAAATCTGTTCAACAAAGCCTCCTTGCTCAACCCTCATATTATTTTCGTTTTGTTTGTTTAAACATTTCTTCATATTTCTTTGCATGATGAACCCTCATACTTTTGAAGTAACCAGTGGGTTCAAGAGTTACGGAGAGGTTCTTATATATCTACCTTGATATTTCATTTAGGAAAAAAAAAGCCAAAATAAGAAAAATTAAAAAAAAAAAAAGACTAGACAGAAAATGACACAATGAGGCATTATCTGGTAATCTTCCAAATATCATAGCTTGGTATAATAACAGTTCCTTAAATATATTACACAAACATCATAAGAATATTGTTTTTCCAGTATTTTTTGTACTCCAAATAACAAAAACATTTCACTTGAAAGCTAAAAAGGACAGATGTGATATTCTCTTTATACAATTTGGACTAATTTAATATGTTTGATAAAAGTTATCTATGAACTGTGGCTATCAAAAAAAGTTCACAAATAAATAATTCAGAGATGAATTCTGACTGACAAAATACTTCAGCGTCCTGGGACTGACAGAAATGGGGAGGAGGAAGCAAACACCTTTTCAGAATATGTTGATGACATATAATTTGCAAGTTAAAAGAAGATGATCCCCGCTGTGACCAGAGTGGGCCTAGCTCAGAAGGCTGAAAGGGGGCAGCCAGCCATGGGTATGAGCACTCACGCAGAGGCAGCAGGATCAGCAACGCAGAACAGGACACATGCATCACCAGCGGTGCTTCCAAAAACAGTACTTCCCCTTGCTCATGCAATGCACTCTGATATCTTATCTTTCTTTCTTTTGGTTTTCATGTTTTAAAAACTGCTGTTTGCAATTCACTAAACTGATCCATTTGAAGACAATGGATACAGCATACCCTGATCTATAGCCCAGGAGATTGCTAGAAAAGGGAAGGGAGTTGGTTTGGCATAAGTCTTTGTAAATGCTTCCCTAGGTAGTTTTGAGCTATCTTAAAGAATTTGTTCTAGAACCTTGCCAGGATTCAATGTTCCCCTCTTGAAAATTCTCCTGGGTCCGTTCTCGTCTCTCATACCTGCACAAAGATGACTATAATCGCTTTCACTACTCTAGGACTTCTGCCATTTGGGCTTTGAACATCCAGTCCAGTTTCGGGCTTCCAGACCCTCTTTAAAGGGTTTAGGCTGGCCTCCCCATTTTGAAAAGAAAGACACAGACTGGAAGAAACTCTTCCTTTTCCTATCACCTGTTAATATCATCTATTCTTCCATAAACACTGGATGGTCTTCCTCATAAGAACAAAACTCCTTGTGGGTACCCCAGCTCACAGTGGCCTCTGGCTTTCCTGACCTTATCCTTGCAGGCCCATGTCACTCTCTGGCACCTGTTCTTGGCTATGCATCCCATGCAATGTACCTAAAGGACACTAGACTTACAGTCCTAGCTTCCAGACCCCTACTCCCCACTATTACTTAACTGGGGGAGTCACCTTGGAAAACGTATTTAATATCGCAATCTAATTTTCTCCACCTGCAAACTGAAAACACTACTTACTTTTGGGGTTTTCGTAAGAATTAATTTATGCATGAGAGAGCCCTTCTCTCGTCTGCCTGGACACATTCATTCAAGCTTCCTTTGCTTTCAAAACACCAGAGTGTTTCATTGTTGTCAAACTAAATGCAGAGTAGTGGCTGAGATTCTGTGCCATTTAACATGCTGTGGAAACCACAACGCCTCCAAACAGGTTTCGGCAGAGACTACTCTTTGCCCTCCTCAATTACACAAAGGATGGGAAGGCACGGGGCTCGGGAGGGGGGGGGGATTGCGGGGTGGGGCAGCGGGTAAAGTGTGAAACCCCTATTTCCCTCTAATCAGTAAAATGACCTGCGAGCAGAGCAGACTCCCCAGTTCAAATAAAATGAATACAACTGTCAAGCCAGGGATCATCTGAGAACCCTGCCCAATGCATGGGGTGCGCGGCCGGGGCCAGGAGCCAGCACATTTCCCCAGTCCAGGGGGGCTCTCTCAGTTGCAGGGCACCAAGGCAGCAGGAGGGCCGCAGCAAGGAAAGTTTTCTCACCGGCGGGAAAGGGTGTGCCTCTGCCGCTGGGGCCCAGCGGAGGGGAGGAAGCCCACCCAAGCCCCGAGCGCCGCCGCTTCCAGGCTTTTCGGACGCCCAGCGGCGTCCACACGCACATCAGCGGGCTGCCGGGAAGGTTTTAAACTTGGTGCTCTCCGCGGGCTCCACACGCTTCCCCTGGGCGTCCTCACATCCCAGTTCTCCTCCTCGCACCCCATTCTCCAGCCCCTCCAAACTAAAGACTGCCCCCAAGCCCAAGCAAGCCCTACTGCCCTGACCAAGGCTGCACGCGCCCCGCACCCAGCGCCCGGGCTTTGTTCGGCCCTGGGCGCCCTGTCCCGCCCGTGGTTACCGCCTGGCTCTCTCCGGCCCGCAGGCTTGGCCCTGGTTCCGGCTCCTGGCTCCTCCGAAGTGCGCGAGCGCAGCCGCCGCCGTCTCCCACGCCCAGGACCGGGCGAGTAGCTCCTGTCTCCGAGGTGCTGCGGAGACGCGCGCTCCCGACCCGCCGCGGAGGCGGCGCGGGGCGCTGGAGCCGGGGCTGCAGCGCGGGGGCCGCCTCACCCGCGCGAGGCCGCCTTGGCCAAGAGGAGGTGAGCTTTGCAGATCCCTTTCCTGCTCGCTTTGCCTCTCCGAGTCCGAGTCAGAGCCTGAGTCAGAGAATTCTTTGCTATCCCGGGCACTACAGTGGGTCTCTCGGGTAAACTTTGGGTAACAGGAGGAGCTCATTAGCTGAGCGAGAGGGAGTGGGGTAGCATGAATCGAGGTTTATGAAAAATCGGCAGCATTAAGTTCAAGTTCAATAAGGTCAGAGCCCCCCATAATGTGCTACTTAAATTACTACCTCGATTTTAGTTTCTCTTCCTGCCCACTGGTCCAGGTGTCAAAGGGCAGTCAGACGTTCAAACGGGGTCCCAAAGGGCTAGCACTGGGCCGGGAGTAGTTTCAGCATAGCAGGGCTGGCTCATCTCTTTCTCCCTTGAGTCCATATTGCATGCCAGGCATTGATCTGGGAATACTAATGCTTGGCGCTTCTACTAAAGAGACAGGTATAAACATAACAAATAACTAAAATACATAGTATGTGAGATAGTGATGAAGTGCGGTGGACAAAAAAGAAGGGAGGAAATGGGATAATGTTTGGAGGTAGGGGGTGCATTTTAAATGGAATGGTCAAAGATGGCTTCACAGCGGAGTAAAGATCTAAAAGAGATGAGACAGAAAGAAGTATCTGGAGAGAAAGCACTTGCTGTGTGGCGGGCACTGAGATGTTCTTTACCGCACTAGTCATTTCTTTTACTACTCTCCATATGCCATATTAGGCAGGTATTACCACCATTTCCATTTGACTGATGAGAAACTGTAACTTAGGAAGGCTAAAAGAACTGCCCAAGGTCATATGCTAGTCAATAGAGGAGCTTGCCTTCAAGGTCAGGAAGCCTGGTGCTCCAGAACCATAGTTTAACCACCATTATACGGTAGCAGGGGAAATGCAGCACCCATGCAGGCTGGTGGCAGTGTGATGAACTCAGCCTGGTGGTGCTGGAAAACGATTCCTGGAAATGACATCTCATCACTGATTGGTTTTTTTTTTTTTTAAAGCTGTTTCATTTCCCCGTTTTAAAAGAAATTTTTTGAAAACATTTTTTTTTTTTTTTTTTTTTCTTACTTTAATCTCTGGGATACGTGTGCAGAACGTGCAGATTTGTTACATAGGTATACATGTGCCAAGGTGGTTTGCTGCTTTTATCAACTCGTCATCTAGGTTTTAAGCCCCGCTTGCGTTAGGTATTTGTCCTAATGCTCTTCCTCCCCTTGACCCCCACCCCCCAGCAGGCCTGGGTGTGTGATATTCCCCTCCCTGTGTCCACGTGTTCTCATTGTTCAAATCCCACTTATGAGTGAGAACATGCTCATTTGGTTTTCTGTTCCTGTGTTAGTTTGCTGAGAATGATGGTTTCCAGCTTCATCCATGTCCCTGCAAAGGACATGAACTCATTCTTTTTTATGGCTGCATAGTATTCTATGGTGTATATGTGCCACATTTTCTTTATCCAGTCTATCATTGATGGGCATTTGGAATGAACAGGCAACCTGCAGAATGGGAGAAAATGTTTGCAATCTATCCATCTGACAAAGATCTAATATCCAGAATCTAGAAGGAACTTAAACAAATTTACAAGAAGGAAACAACCCCAACAAAAAGTGGGCAGAGGATATGAACAGATACTTCTCAAAAGAAGACATTTATGTAGCCAACAAACATATGGAAAAAAGCTCATCACCACTGCTCATTAGAGAAAACCATCTTTACAGCATGTGTGTATATCTTCTGCCTCATTCACAAGCAGTTTGATTCTAAATAACATAATTTGACAATCTGTGATAAGATTTGTTAGTCATTCCCCAAGTGTCCACACCAGTTCCAGTTGCACATTCCTGTTCACAGGGATGTGATTCCTCACCCCTGCTGTAGAGCCTCTGCCAAGTGTCTTCAGGGCATCGCGACACAGAGCGACAGAACTGCTGCTTCTGAGGGGCTACGGCGTGAACAGGCCAGTTTCTGCCTTAGCTGTTGGCATCAGGTGGCCTTGTTCTGGGCAGAGTGTCAATGCCTCCAGACAGAAAACCAGGGCACATTGTACTTTGTGAAAAAGGCAGGTCACTAACCCTTAGTTTCAGAAGATGAAACTGCAGCATCTGGTGAAACAACGACAACAATAGGATGGCGGAGCCCACATTTCTCTCCTGGGTATTTCCACCTCCTCGTTGCATTCATTCCCATCTTCCTTCCTCCCCTGTCAGCAAAAATCTTTTGACCTTTCCTTCAGGGTTCATTTCAAACACCACTTCTCCCAGAAAGCCTTCCTCATTGTCTCAGCTACAAACGAACTCTTAATCTAAAATCTGATACCTCTCTTATGGCACCTGACACTTTCTACTTTATTTTAAAATTTAGCCTATACTGTATTCCTTAACTTCTCCATAGGCCAAATATTAATTTACATTTCATTTCTCCACAGGTCCTAGCATAATGTCTTCTACCCAGTAGACATTCAATGAGTATATTTTTACTGTTGTTGTTAATAAATTAATCTGCAAGAATACAGCTTCATTGTCTGTTTTGTCTTTTCATTCCAAGATAACTCACAGAAATTTAGTGACAGGACTGAGTTATATGTAGCTATAGCTGTTGTTCATCAATATAAGTTGACAATGGTTGTCTTGAGGTAAATTCCATTTGCCCTATTTTGAGATTAGAAAATGGAGGCTTTAGAGTAATTTCGCTTAGGTCACAATACTAGTCTTCAAGAGAGCCAGGATTTAAACCCAGCACTGTTTGGCTCCAAAATGAGCTCACCACAAACTCATACTTCTCTTTCAGTTGTTCATTCAGGAATGCATTCATTTGATCTTTCAACAGATACTTGCAAACATTGACTGTGCTCAGCTCTGTCCTAGATACCAGGAAAAGAGCAATGATTAAAACACAGTCCTTGTCCTCAAAATGCTCACAATCGTGTAGAAAGGACAAAGGTAAGGAAATAATAAAAACTTAGTATTATAAATATTTTAGACTGATGGAGGTCCTTGGGGAGCACTTGGTTTAACTTAGGTTGTGGGAAGTAGGAGATGACAATAAGGATTCTCTAAGAAGATAGAATGTAATTTTAATTTTGAAGTTTGTTACAATGATAATGAAGAGAAGTATATGGTAGACAGAGGAAAGAGCACCTGCAAAAACACAAGCATGGAAGGATACAATGCATTCTGAGAATGGGTATGCCGATTCAAGAGGGCTGCAGCATGGTGAGAGCAGAGTTGACATGAGGCTGGAAAGGTAAGCAGGGCCAAATCACAAGAGGTGCACAGAGTAGCTTTATGAAGTTCATCACTCCCTTAATATGTATAAAAATCATGGCTGTCTATATATGTCAACTTTCCAGGCTAGAGGTTATCTAACTTTAGTCAGATTCTCAAAGAGGCTGAATGACCCAGGGCTAGGAAGTAAGGAAGTCACTTTCCTTTCCCACAGCCTTCCATAGGTCCATGGACTACAGGAAATCCCAGGGAATTGCAACATCAACCAGGATATGCTGGATACCTGGATTGGGGTGGGTACAAGACTTGCCCCTGCCAAATCACCTCCAAACATGCAGTGGCACTGACATCCCTGGGCAAGGATGGCTGGGCCCTGGTCCTCCCAGCACCTGCACCCCTGTGCCTTCTAAGTGTGGAAGGAAGGGATTGCTGGGTGGCCAGAAGGCCAAGAGGCAGGGAGGCACCTAAGAGTGTGTCCTGGGAAGGTGGCAGAAAGCAGGACCACAGAGAGCCACGACTCTAAGCCCTAAGTGCATGCTTCATTGCCTCATCTGACTTCAATTGCTGCGATGGGCTGAATGGTGTCCCCCAAAATTCCTCTGTCCTAAGCCTTGGTACCTCAGAATGTGACTGTATTTGGCAATCGGGCCTTTAAAAAGGTGATTAGGTTCAATGAGATCATATGGGTGGGCCCTAATCTAATCTGACTGATGTTATAAGAAGGGAGTAGAACACACAGAGAGACACCAAGGGGCATATGACGACAGAAGGACACCAATGTGAAGAGGCAGCCTAGGGGTGGCTATCTGCAAGGCAGGGAGAGGGGCCTAGAACAGAGCCCTTCCTGATGGCCCTCAGAGGAAGCCTACCCTGCTGGCACCTTGCTTTTGGCCTTCATTTCCAGAATTGTGAGAAAATACATTTATATTGGTTAAGCCACCCAGCCTGTGGTACGTGGTTATGGCAGCCTGAGCAGACTGATAGACTTACAGGATACCAATTCGAATTTCAAAGATAACTTTTTTAAGAATTCCAAGATGGTGACCACAGAGCATTAAATCCCCAGGGAGGGGCCCTTCTGAGCATGGTGTCCTGTACCACTGCACCAGTCACATACCCATGAAGCTAGGCCTTGGGAATTGGGAAATGGAGATCTGAAGACAACTTGGGGTTCATCAGTGAGGTGGTGTGATTAAAGATGGGGGGATGGGTGAGATTGCTTCTTGGAAACATAAAGTGAGGAGAGAAGATGGCTGATGTCAGAAAGAGCAACTAGGGACATAGAGGTGAACAAGAGAAGGTGGAACCCAGTGGAGAAATGGGTAATAATGTCTAAGGCCCACGGACATGTAATTAAAAACCAAACTCCATGGACCCTAGCATGGAGGTCATGTGGTAGGCATTGGGGCCGGGTTGCTGCTGGTTAAAGAGTAGGTAGTGCAATTACAGGCTACTCTTCTAAGCAGGCTTGGGAGGAAGGAGGAGAAGGGGGCTGCTGAGGGCCCTCGTGCAGATCTATGGGAGGCAGGAGGTCAGGAGGCCTAATATCCAGCCCATGCCCAGTCGCCAAAGCTGAATCAGCCTGCTGGAAGGGCCAGTGGAAGGCCTTCTAACCAAGACTCCAAATGGCCTAGGCTTGAACAACAAAGGTGTAGCTATAGCTTTTCTTATGTCTGTGTGTGTGTGTGTGTGTGTGTGTGTGTGTGTGTGTATTTATCTGAATCATCTCCCTAGCTCCAGGAAAGAAGCAACTGTTCTGCCTCCATGCAGCCCCCAGAACAGTGGCACATAGTAGACACAGGAAACAAACGTTGAATAAACCAATGGGATGCAGAGTCAAGGGAAAGGTTGTGCTTGCTTTGTTTTGTCTTTATTCATTTGTTTCAGATGAGAGACATAAACATGTTTCTAGATTGAGAACAAGGACCCTAAAGGAAGAGAGAAGTTGAAGATAAGAGTTGAGAAAGGAAATAATTGATGAAATAAGATAATAAAGAGTAAGAGAATAAATCAAGAGAATTTCTGGAGGGGGAAAAAAACCTGAATTATCCTTCAGGATATTTAATCATTTAGTCACTCACTGATGAGTATCTTGCATTGTCCTGAGCCCTTCTGGGGTTGGGGTACTGAAGGGTCAGAGGGTCAGGGTGGATACAGAAGAAAACGTAAGATATATTCCCTTCCATTTGTTCAAGGTGACACCATCTAGTTAAGAAGTATTTTATGGAAAAAATACACAGCAATGAAACACAACAAGAATATTCCCAGAAGTCTGAGTAATAAAGAAAGATTTGAAAACAGAGTGAACTGAGAAAATGCCCGGAGGCATTACAGCAGAGCTGGAGAGGAGATAGGGAAAAGGAAGTAGAGAGAAAATAAGGGAACATGAGCTCTGGCATGGTCTCCTGGCAATTGGCCATCTGGCAGCTCTCAGCATCAGGAAAACAGGGGCTCAGTGTTGACTCAAGACCTGGGAAACTCCATTTATTTTCCAATTGATTAGGACCAATGCCAGCAGTCAGGCTCAGCAGGAAGCAGTAAAATCAGGATTTGTCTTAGAGAAGGACACATCCCTGATAGTTAATGTGTCTGGGCATGGAAAACCTGGCTTTTTTAACAATGAGTCCAACAACGAGGCAGGACCAACTGAAGAAAGTGATGAGAAAGAAAA